GGGGGTCTCACCTGCCGGGGGCTGGGGAGAGTCGGCTTACGATGCCGTTCGGAGGGGCCCGGGCAGGGCTGGGGGGTGTGAGGTGTCTCCCGCACGGCTGCAGCTGAGGGCAGGCACCCCGGCCTTGTGGTGGTCCCGCCACGCTCAGCCCCCACACGCTTTCTGCCTGCATTCGCTTATTGACAGGCAAACTGGTAAAAGCAGCAGCAATCGTTGATTTATATACGAAACCAGCGGTTTATACCTTTGTTATTCTAATACTCATGCTAGATGTTAAGGCGCGTAGCAGCTTTAAAAGAAGCGCATGTGTATAGCTTCACCTGGCTTCGAAGAGAGACGGACGCGCTTGTCTGCGGGCTGGATGTGAAGAGCCACTGGCAGTGCTGAACCAGAATGGCTGTATTGGGTTGTCGTTTAGAAACTGATGGGTTATTCCGAAGCCGGTTGTTTTACAAAGCATGGACTGTGGATAATGTAGTTGTCTCTCATTTGAAAGCTTGCAATGTCAGCATCATCATCGCTTGCTTCATCGTTACCTTCACTGCCACCAAGAAGGCCTGGTAGACCCCACTGTTTATTGTGCTTCAGGAAGAAACAAGGAGGAGGAAGTGTGGGGAGAAGAAGGGCTCAGTCAAGGATATGCACAAAAGAACAAATAGGTGGATGTCCTTCAGGGAACCACTGAAAGTGTTCTTGTGTGCTGAAGTTGCCAGTTTCTTTGCTGGATTTGTATGTAAACTGACCTCAAAGCAAAGATGTGTTTCGTGTTGGCCCTTTCCCTTTTGGTAGTTACATTTTGTCATACTTAGCTAGATATGAGAAATATAAACGTGGAGGCCATGTCTGCAGGGAATCCCAAGTGAAACAAGACACTGATGGAAGCTCTGTGCTAAAAACTGAGGAGGATTTTTTGGAAACCTCTTCAGCAGTGACTGTTGAGAGATGACCTTGCATTTTTGTGTTGTTTTCCATATATTCCCTGAAATAATATTTTTAGGTGTTTATGAATGTCTCTTTAACCTTGCTGCAATATTTTTCTACATGCGTGCTTTATTTTTGTTTTCACATATTATCAACACAAATTTAGACTCTTTATTTCTCTGATTGGAGGTTATGTAGAGCATGTACTCTGGAACTAGAGTCCAGGATTTCCTGCATTCCCCATTCCTGTGACTTTCTTTTTTTTTGCTGTTATATTACCGTCTGGACTGTGGGTTGGCTGCTTTGTTGTACGGCGAATTTACGTGGATAGCCTAAGTGAGGCTCTCTTGGTGCTGCCAGATGGCAAGCCGCTGTAACTGCAGAATTCTGAACTGAATGCCTTTGCAAGCGAAAGATACGCAGCATTCATTGTGTTAGCAGCTCCAGCTGGCTCCAGTACGGCGTACTTGCCAAAACTTTTTTAGGATTCCGAGGAAGTCATTTATTACAATAACTGTGTAAATGTTGAGTTTGTGTAGATTTTTTTTTTCTTTTTACTCTGGTGCACGCCCAGAAAAAAGAGAATGTTACAGCGTGAGGTACATCTAACATACCATCTTCAAAGTACTGAAGAATTGGTCTGCTCTGTTGCATTTGTTGAGAAAAGGAATGGTGTGAATTCTGGTTTGGGCTTCAACTCAGTATTTTAATTTTTTTTTAATAAACAAGGAGAATACAAGAGCCTGTAAAGTTATATGGCACGTGAAATGTGATTGTTATATTAAAAGATTGTAGTCTTTCACAAATCTGGGCCTCCACGGATTTGTTTGAAGGTCTGGTGTATTAAACTCCAAATCAGAAAACTAATCAGATATGGCAGATTTTGTGGGGCCTTCTTAATAGCCCATATATTAAGTGGAAGAACTTGGGCTAAACAATGCTGATTTCAGGTAACTGGGTTATATGGCTGTGCTGTTCCAGGTTTTGGTTCACCTTACAGACTTTGTACAGACACTCTTTTATGGTGTATGGTGTCTGAAATTATTGAAGCAAGCTGATGCATTCTGGATGTCAAATAAGCAAAAGTACAAATACGAGGAAAGATATTACAAATCTTGGTGGGCACTAGGAGATATTTTTATCTGAAAAATCCAAATTGTTTTTTCAGGATAGCTTTGTTATGTTCAGCATAACGTAGAATTTTTAATTGTGCCCATTTGTCTTGCTCAAAAGGAGTAAGACAGTTTTATGTAGTGGACAGCATACCTTTTCAGGCTCACTGCTATCTCACTTTGTCCTGTGCAATTTGTTCAGTGTACAGGTTGGTTTAAAATTTGTTAAAAGCAGAAATTTAAATTCAGTCGGGTAACACAGTGAATGAAATATTTCCAGCTACATATGCAGTCTGAATTCTGTAAAGTTGGTGAATTAGACCTAAAATGAACATCTTTAAAACGTCATCAGTTATCCCAAAATTACTCAATGAATTAAAAGTCTAATTTTTGTTTTGGTTCTGTTAGTACTAGTATTGAGTAGAAGTGAAAATCAGTCTGAAACGTGAATATCAGGCCTGATTCTTGACTGATTTAAATCAAAAAGCCTTGTATCCAGCTGGAAACTGGAAGGATAAGGAACGAATTCCTTACTGATTTCAGTGTGTGTGTAATGCACTGATAGATAAGGACTGCAAAAGCAGTGCAAAAAAGGTAACTCTTTACAGTGATCTAGTATGTGATTGAATGAATTTTCTTATTTGTAAAGTATTTTTGTCCCACTTAATTTTATAATAGATATTGTACAGTATACTGTAGGGCATCTGGAAGACGGACTTGGTACCTAAGGAACAAGAAACGCACTATGTCTGTACTGATCACGTAGTGGAGGAAATATTTAAGTGCTGTTTGCAGACATAGAGTGAGGTCACAGTGGATCAGAATGCTTCAGAAATACAAGATAATTTGTTCTACTTCATCCATTCTGCCATCTAACACCTCCAGATTTCTGCTTACCATAAGTACTAACAGTAGTGCTTGGTTTTGTAGGAGGGTACAGTTGTTTAGCACTGTCGTGTTTTAACCCGGCAGCCGGCAACTCGGCACCCGACAGCCGCTTGCTCACCGCTCCCCTTCCCCTGCAGCGAAAGGAATGGACAAAGGGGAAAACTCATGGGCTGAGGTAAAGACAAGTTAATGAGGCAACAAAGGAAATACTAATAACAGCAATAAGAATAATAATAATGAATATGCAAAACAGACTATACACAATACAATTTTCTTCTCGCCACCCGATGACCGAGCTGCAGGCAGTGGGGGAGCAGCGATCTCAGACCCCGCGGGTTTCCTGGAGCTCACAAATATTGAGTAACTTGCCAGACTCATGGAATAAGACTGAACTCCCTGAGAAGTTCAAACTCCTGGCCAATAGAAGACTCAAACTCATGGAAAAGTGAAAGAGCAGATTCTTGCCCCCTGGCCAGCCCCCATTCATAAACTGAGCGCGATGTCCATGGTATGGAATATTTCCATTGTCCAGCCTGGGCTGTCTGCCTGGCTGTGCTCCCTCCCAGCCCTGCAAGCCTGCTCATGAGCTGGATATGGGAAACTGGAATAAGTCCTTGATTTCATAGCAACAACTAAAAGCATCAGTGTTATCAGAATTCTTCTCCTCCTATGTCCAAAACACAGCAGCTACTGGGGTGAAAATTAACTCTATGCCAGCCAAAACCAGGACAAACACTCTCGGTGCAGGGAGGAGAAAATAATCTGTATTAATGGTAACACTACAAATTGGAAAGCCAGGCATTTTCAAAAGCTTGCTAATCTATTCTGAATTTTATAATTGTGTATTATGTTCGTATGTACACAGACTGTGTTACTATTCAATTGTGAGATCTATGTTTTTGAAAGTTTGAAACTTTTATGATTAAAGTGATATGCGCATTCTTTGTGTGAGAAGTTATTTCTCTTATGTGTTATAAATCAAAGGTATAGTCTTCTGTATGTATTTTAAAAATGAAACTAATTAAAAGAATTTTGCTGAGGTCCATTTATCTTAATATTTTAAAATTATGTTTTCAATTTCAAGTGGTCTTCATTTGCATCTTTTTCCCTAGGTTTCTGCAATGTACTACATTCATGTAGCTCTGCTGTTATAAACTTTGGTACAAACAATGTTATATGGGAAAGATTTGTGGTTTGTTACAAATAAAAGTAGATACCAGTACATCAGTAAATGCGCATACCTTATAGGTGTGGTGTTGTGATAACTACACTGATCATCTCTGAAGTGTGTAGTATGTATGTTGCTGAATTCAGTGCAATCCACAGTAGCTCTGAAGGTATGTCTGTTGATGAGGTTTTGGACTGTTTCAGAAAATCTGCATAAATGTACATATATTTACAAATCATAAAAGTAAATTTAAAACCTTATTAGGTAGAAACTAAGTAAATTTTCATTCAGTAAAGGCTTAACCTTATCGCTTGGTCTAGTGTAAAAAATTTGTGAAGATACTGTTTCTGTCTTTTACGCTAAAGGGGGGGAAAAAAGACATTGACAAAAGTTTGAAATGGTATTGGTATCTGATCTGTTATTTTCTCTGTAAGTGTTAACCATTTTTTTACTAAGAGCTTGAGAGTTGAAGTATGTCAGCGTCCATTTGGGACTTGACTGTAATTGCAAAGGAGCATAACTGGGCAGCTGAATTCAGCCATCCATAAAGGCTGATGGACGTGCTGAAACCACATGACAGCTTAAAACTGTCCTCTTGGCAGTTGCAAGTGGGACAAACTGTATTAACATAGTTGAAACATGCCCATGTGTTTTTAAATCAGCATTCAATTCTGAAAAGTGAACATTCAGTAATAAATGGTAGCATTCTGCTCTAGAGATTTTAAAATGGACTGTATTTGTAGCTTTAGCCCAGGAGTTTTAAGGGGAAAGTAAGTTTTTGCTACTTTTAATGCCAGTTACCAGCGCGGTGGATGGCATGTGGCGTGCTGAGAAGCGTGGTCCAGGCAGGAGCCTCCTCGGTCCTGCAGGGAGAGTCCCTCGCTGTGCTTTATAACAGGGACTTCGCAGATCCGGGGACTTCAGTCAAATTAGTTCAATGTCACTGGTCTTGCACAAGAACTTGCTCTCTCTGTAGGATAAGGTGAAGTTCAGGTGTTTGCAGCTGTAGACCAGTGATTTTTTTTGTTGTTTTGGGGTTGCTTGGGTGGTTGTCCTTTCCCACCTCTGTGCTAGTCTCCCTGT